GTGTGTAATTATATATCCTGTTTCCTCCTCTTCATCCTAAAAATGTCACCAGGCCTGATCCTTTTTTCTGCAGCTGCCCACCGTGGAAGGTGACAGAAGTTTGGGCAGGGCACCTACAGTGTTTTCCTCTTCCATTTTCCAGACGTTTCCAGAAAGTTTGTTTCTGAGGTCCCAAGCACATCCACAAACCCTACTTGTGTCCTGTAAGGGTCTGTAAAGTTGTCACAGAACTCAATCAATGTGTGCTTTGCTGCTCTGCTGTGCTAGGTACTTAACAAACATCTGTGCCCGTGAATTACAAGAATTTTTATATGTATGTGAATTTACATATATGTGTGAATTTATATATATATGTGAATTTTTATATATATATGAATGTATATATATATGAGTTTATATGTATGTAAACTTATATATATGTGAATTTATACCTCTATATGATTTTTATATATGAGTTTTTATACATATATATGAATTTTTATATATATATTTGAGTTTATATATATGTGAAAATATATATGTGTGAAAAAAAATAAATATGCCATCAATTACATTCTCCTTTTTTATGAAAAGTTTTTAAACTGTGACAGATTAGATTTCTTTTACTTGGTGCTCTCCTAGAAACAACAGAAATAAATGCCCTACTATTACTAAAACATGCATTTTAAAAACCTCTTCTACAGTCTTGGTATTCCCCTATGTCACATATGCATCCAAATACACATATGTATATTTGTATATGTGTAAAACTTTCCTGCTGCCAAAATGTCATTACCTCTTGAAAAATGCCTTGTCCTCCTGGCTTTCCTTGGTGTGCTGTGTTTATTTTCTCAGTTTCACACTCAAATCTTTAGTGCAAGTGGAAAAATAATGTCACAGCTCCCCCAGTTGAAGTGAGTGCCGTGGGCTGAGGTCGGAGTGCCCTGGGGCAGTGGCAGCCCTGGGGCAGTGGCAGCCCTGGGACAGTGGCAGCCCTGGGACAGTGGCAGTGCCAATTCCATTGTCTCGGAGCAGCAGAACACGGATTTAACTGGCAGTTGTGGAGGCTGAAATTCTCCCCTGGGGATACAATTATTTCAGCTCACAGACAGCTCTGTGCACTGACTGCACTTCGAAACTGGTTTAGTCAAAAAGGGATAGAATTTTAGGAGTTTCTAGAACCTAATTCTGTGGGAAAGGACCACTGACTATGTATAAGAAGGGCTGGGTTATTTTTGAATCTGTTCTGCAATATAAAGTGAATATAAAACCATGGGAATGATTTTCATTCATGATTTATTCATACAGGCACACCTGTATGAATAAGGCATTAGAATCTATAATCAGAAATTTTAAAAAGCATTTCTCTAGTCCAATTGTTGGTCTCTAATTCCTTGTATTTTAATTAACTAATCGTGTAGGTTAACAAACCTACTTATATCAGTGAATATTTGTTCAGTGCAGCGATGAACTAGTCTGTCATTCCTCCTGTAAAGAAATGATTCTTTAAATAAACTTGAGAAATCCTCAGTTAACCAATTCTTTAAAACCAGGAGCTTCTTTGGCATATTCCAAAACAGATTGTTTCCAGATCCTAATGAACATATTCTGGCACTACTTTTTCTAATCTGCTTTCAAAATCGCTTTTTTCCAGTTGAGTTTATTTCACAGTCAAACTCCTGCTTGTGTTCTGATTTGTACTGCTGTAGTTTGTATCATGTTATTTGTGTTTTCTTTTCCATAGGCAAGTTGTGTGGGTTTAAATATATCCTAACTTAGTTGTTTTTAAAGGAATTAACAGCAAAACACTACATTTATCAGATAGTCAATACCAGAAAGTTAATATTACTTGTAGTATTTCCTAGAAGAACTTGAAAACAACATGGCAGTATATGAAGGAATCAAAATATAATTTAAAAAAGTAATCAAAAAAAAAGAAATCAAAATCTGTCTTTTTACAAAAAAGAAGTTATATACTCAGAAGTGCAAACAGGTCCCTGTGCACTTAACAAATTCTGTTGTATAGAAGCCATTATAATTCAGGTAAAAGGAGTATCATTTTATGTTTTCTTAAGCATTCCAAACTTCCAATTCTGGAATTATTTTGTAAAACAAAAAGCAAATAAAAAAAGAAAAAGCTAAAAATCATGAATATTTTAAAATAGTGTTTCTTAACACCCCCCCCAAATTTTTAAAATTATTTTTAAAAATATCAGCCAAAGTCCAAAGCAGTTTTTTAACATAGATTCACAGACCATGTGAGAAATCTTTAGGAACTATTAGGCCTTTCATTTTAATGCTGTGAGGAATGTGTTTTAACAGGTTTAGGAAAATTTCCCTATTTAGGGGCAACTTCCCTTGGCAGCTCCCTTGTAGATCCCCGAGTGGTGCTGATGAGTTAAACCCCTGTTTGCCACTCCTGTTTCTCAGGAGCCAAGTGCTCCTAGAAAGGACATGTGAAGTAAATTGCCTTTTCCTTCTGTTTATAGCCATTTGTAATTTATGACATGAACTCTTTGATGATGGGAGAAGACCAGATCAAGTGCAAGCACGTGTCCCCTCTGCAGGAGGAGAACAAGGAGGTCGCCATCCGCATCTTCCAGCGCTGCCAGTTCCGCTCGGTGGAGGCCGTGCAGGAGATCACAGAGTTCGCCAAGAACATTCCAGGTTTTGTCAGCCTCGACCTGAATGATCAAGTAACTCTCCTGAAATATGGGGTCCATGAGATCATATACACTCTCCTGGCTTCTCTGATGAACAAAGATGGAGTTCTTATATCTGAAGGACAAGGATTCATGACACGGGAGTTTCTGAAGAGCCTGAGAAAACCTTTTTGTGACTTTATGGAGCCCAAGTTTGAGTTTGCTGTGAAGTTCAATGCACTGGAATTAGATGACAGTGACCTGGCAATATTTATAGCTGTTATTATCCTAAGTGGAGGTAAGTGCTCTCTTATTTAATATGATATTTTATATGATGTAATTGACACTTTTCATTCCTGTCCAAACAGGAAAGTCCTCAGCACTACAGGGTGGGAGTGAGTTTATTTACACATAGTTTTTTTAGTAATTTTCAACTTTCTTAAAGTTGTTTGCCATTTTTTCAGTTTCAGACAGAAAGTAAAAATGTAAATGACTTGCTATTAATGATGGAGCCAGAAGTGCCTGCTGAATCAGCAGTTCATTTAGGTAGAAAACAAAATCAGGCCTGTCTTTGGGAAAACAGGAAGGGTGGAATTTCACTGGCAAGAGCTAAAATTCTGCATGAGATTTTTTCAAACCTGCAATTAGATTGTGTGGCTGGCTAATTGTAGAGAAATAGCTTTGACTCCAGAACAATTTCAAAATATGCGTGGTATTGGGCTTGCAGGATTGTTATGGTGCTTTTTATTGTTTTTTTCATTCATGCAAGATAATGTTTTCCTTTAAAAGGGAGGGGGAAAAAAATGCATTTTTCAGAAAAAGATGGTCTCCTGATGCCTGAGGAAAACTGGCATTGTGTGTCTGCCTAACGTGCTCTGTTCAGGTTTCCTCAGCTGCCCCTTTTGTATTATCTTTACATATTATGCTTTCAGCAAATTATGAATCTGAAAGCCCAGGTATCAGACTACACGCATTCCAACACTTCACTGAAAAAGACACTGAATTTTCAGCTTTTTGCAGCCAGTCAGTGTGTTCTCTCTGTTCCTGAGCTGATGTCACTATTCTGGTTTGGGACTTTAGTTCGCTTAGACACCGTTCTGCTGAGAATTTGAGATATCAGACCTACATTTCAAACTCTCTTACTTTGGCCAACACTATCAAGTTAGTGATGTTGCAAAGATAAAATTTTACCCCACTGATTTGTGTGTATTTTGGCTTAACAAGGAACTGCAGAAATCAACGGGAGGAATGTGCTGAATATTCTGGATTCAGCTCCTCTGCAGAGCAACGTAGAGGATTCTGTTATTAAATTACATTTAAGCAATCAAACACAACCACATGCTATTGTTCTAAAAACAAACATGCTGTTGAGAGCGCATTGTTATGTATAGCTTCATTTAAAATCACCTACAATTCCTCCTGGCATTGTGTTTCATTCAGTAAAAATGTGGTATCACAATATGGTTTATTCGACTAATTCCACTTCAAACAAGGAGAGTTCCCAGAAGACATTTCCTGGTGCAAACCTCTGAACACGATGATCCCTGAGGACTCTGCATTAATTCAGGAAGGCAAAACACCTTACTGGTATATTTTTTTGTTGGCTTTGATGGGGGAGGAGAAATTACACAAACACATTAGGGCACTACACAAAACATGCCAATAATTTGCCTTTTTTAATATATTGAAATTTGACAGACGAGAAAAAGACCTCTCAAAATTCACTCCTAATTGAAAAAAGGGAACTTGCAATCTGCAAAGCCATGTCTTCAGCAGTGTTTGGTTTATATTAGAGGAAACAGATATAATGTGACTAATCTTCCAATTTAGAATGCAGGAGGACAACGATCCACATAAAGTAATTGACTGTGTGGAACTGGATTTATCAACCAGTCTTTTTTTTTTTTTGAGAATCATTTGTAAACAGAGATCTGTAAAGAACTACTGATTTTTAATCACTAGTTCTTAAGTCTCTGAAGCAAATCTGCATAAATATATAAAATCAGTCCTTTCTAGGAAAATCCTTTAATTTCTGGATAACAAAGATCTCACTATCTTTGTTTAGAACTGGGGTGTTTTTTTTCCAAAAAAGCATGGTGGCTACTTGTAAAAACTGAGCTTATATTTTGAAAACAATTGAGCTTTGTTGCCAATTATAGAATGGCTTTTATCATGAATTTTACAGCCAGATATGAGATATATCTGAACTGTGGGACTGTAGTATCTCATGTGGTATGAAACTGAAGTCCTATTTCTCAGCTGTCTCACATGCTTGTGTTTCTGTAAGAGCTCTGTCCTTGCAAAACTGTATTTCTGTAAGAACTACATGAATATAGAACCAGGATGATTTCATTGAAACCAGGATTTCAAAGCCAGTTCTTATTACCTTGAGGACTTTACTAGCTACAGGAATACTGCAATGTTTAAGTCCCTTCAAGAAATCCTGTATACAAATATCTTTATTAAAAAAAACCAGTTTGTGAAACCAGAAAACACCAAGGCAGGTGCTGTCATTGTAAGTGAATCTGTCGTTACCTGAGGACATTCTGTCAGTGCTGCTGGCTCAGGGGTGCTGGCCCTTGTGCAACTCTACAAAGAAGAAAAGGGAAAGACAAAGATAATTCCAGCTGGAACATTACATGTAGAAAGCTTTTCATTGTGAAGTGTTTGGAATTTGCCACACACCCTATAAAACAGTTTAGCCTTTTGATATCAAAACAGCTGCATTTGCCTGTGACATAAAAAGGCAAAAAGCCCATATAACAACAATAAGAGGCTGACAAATAAACTGCAATAGCAACAGAATGAATGTACTTCCACAGTTGCTCATTTTACTGTCTCTGAGCTGCTCAGTGCAGCATCACTCTGTCTCAATGACTCCAAGTGTGACTCTGAACTCATTACTGCAAAGCTGAAGAGTTCTTGCTGTTGGTGCTATAAAACAACAAAAATGGCAAACAAGTTCTTGTATTCTGAATTTAATGCTGATGAGGTAGAGACACTGTGAGGAGTAGGATATCACCTTGTTTGTACAACAGAAATGCTTTCTGCCATTAATAGCAATGGCAAACTCTTATTACAACATTCTTTTAGTTGTGGCAACTTTGCAAAATACACTTCAGCTAAATGAGATTTGGAAAGCTTTATTGTAGGACATCTTCTTCCTTCCCATGGGATTCCTCTGTGCCACTGAGACACATCCTCAGTGAGTGCTGTGCTATACATATTGAAGAACTTGAGGCATCTCTAAAAATGTTATGTATCTCTGAGTCAAAATAATAAGAATATTGTAAGAAGAAGGCTTAAGGAGAACAAGTTGGATGTCTCTGTTTGGGCAGAAAAGAAAATACTCCAAACCTTACTGGGATAACCCAGCAAATTCACTCAAACAGGTTGTTGTCAAATACAGAAAAAGCTCCAAAGGGAATGTTGTAGCATGTTTACACGTCATGGATGAACTTTGGTGTATCATCTTCTGCAGTGTTTAGGATCCCACAGTGTTTGGGTACAGTAGTGTTTGTGGCAGGATATTCCTGTACAGACCCAGGTGCAATAAAGCTGGGGTGTGAATTCAGAGATGCTGCTGCATTCACTTTTCTCGTTTCTGAGTGTGTTCTTTACAGGAAATTTTAAGCCTCAATCCCTGCTGCTTGTTCAAACACTGCATTCCAGAATTTAGCTGCATTCTGAGATCAGCAATATTTGCAGTTTTATCACTGAATAATAGCAAGAAATAGTTCATATTTGACTGCTACACAAATCCTGCTCTTTGTTAGTGCAATGAAATGCTTCATAATCAGCCCAAGAACTGCAGATAATCACTGTAGGTATTGAACCCAAACCCTGGTGACTACAAGACATGTGACAGTCTCAGAAGAAAAACCTCAAACTGCTAACTCATATCTGTCTCAAACTGCTGACTCATGCCTGCCTCAGCAAAAGCAGTAGCATAGTTGTTCACTCAGTCATATCTTTGCCTGTTTTACCATAGTAAGATTTTAGTACGTGTATTTAAATGAAAAATGCACTTGTTCAAGGATATTAAAATGTCAAGACATGCAGATGGCAATTTCATATGTGAGGAGCACGAAAAATATTGTAATTGTTGTTAGGAAACACGAAAGAAGCATCCAAATCTGTGAGTAAATAAACAAAGTGTTTTCCCCTGAGACAGAAAAGAACATCAATTTACAAAAACTGGTACCGGTGGTACTCAGAACTCTGGGGCAATCAGCCCTTCCCAGTTCCTGTGAACATTTTCTTACTTAGAACAACAGCTTCCTGCAGAATTTTCAAACCAAATGAAGCAGCTGTGTGACAAAGAATTAAAACATAACGAAAATCTGGATTAAGAAACATAATAATAAAAAGGGAAACATGGTACTCTCCTGGCACATGGTTAAAAGGCAGGTCACAAACAGCTCACAAAAAACCACTAAACTTCAAAAAACCACTAAAGTTTGTGTATCAGGGAGGATTAAAAGTGGTGTCGAATCCCTTTTAGTTATCTCTCACCTGAATAATTTCAACTATTTGGGCTTCTGTCACCAAATTTCATTGTATCATAAGAAACTCCTTGGTTTTGTCTTTCCCTTCCCTCATCAGTTCCCTTTGCAGTTTTCTCTGTGAGCTTTCAAATAGCAGTTTTTGGTCTCGTTCAGCCTCTTCAAAGGCCTCCACCACAGTGTCACATTCAGTTTCCCATTCCCATTTCTGTTTCTTCCTATTCTCTGGCTGAATGTTTCCCAAGGTTTCCTGTTAATCATTTCCTTTGTATTTTTTTTCTACAAGCCACATCTTTCTGCAGCTCCCTACTGCACAAAACACACCTTTTGGTACATAACCAAATGCATCATAACAGCTTGAAATATACCATAATAGCTGGATGTTAAAGCTTTTGCCTCTTCTTTCCTTTTTTCCTGATATGTTTCTTGGAACAGAAACAGCATTTTCCTCTGCAAGAAATTTTTTCTGAGAAAGTATTGCAAACTGTCAACACCCCAGAAATACGGTCCGTATCCTGAAGTTCTCATTCATGAAAAATCCCTTTTCCTTCAATGGGAATTTTCCTTCCTCTTGAATTGGCTTATTTAAAAATAACATCTGATGATCTCGTAGGCTTTTGCCATAGTCATCTTTTCTGACTCTGGTTCCACTGGGTCATTATAAAACCACCAGACTGGGTTTTCCAAGGGATTTTAAGGATTTTAGCCAGTACACTCTCACTGAACTTCAGTTGACCTTGAGCACCCAAATTTGGGGGTTCCCTGGTAAGTTCTGGACTCAGCAGAGTTGCCTCCTGGGCTCTAAAGTTGACTGGGGAGAAGTGTTCGAATGGGGATTCACTTCTGAAAAACACCCTAAAAATTCCCACAGAGAAGCAGGGGGCAAATGGAGATTAATCTCAGAGGAAATCAAGGCCACAGTCTTTGTGCTTTCTGATTTTTCTCTCCCTGCACACGAGTCAGCCCCAGCTGGTTCAGAGTTCAGCTGCAACACATGAGGCAAATTTAAAGCGATCACAACCCAAAATTATCAACAACTCTGAAGCTCTGAAATTTGGGGAGCTATGGAAAGACATAAAGAAGGCAACTAAATTCTGCAGCACATGCAGTGCATTCAGGTAATCAAAAATAAATCTCTAACACTGATCAAAAATTCTCCATCTAAAAAAAAAGATTTCTTGAAAATATTGCCAAAGGAAATTAATAAAAAGGAACCATTTGTTTGGAGACAACTTTCTGCTTGCAGATGCTTACTTAAAGACTTTCTGAACCATATTTTATGGTGTTATCGGTTGAGTGGGATAAATAAGTGATGTCTGCAAGACAAGCACATTGGCAAACAAATATTGGGATCCAGATTCAAAGTTACCATCATTGCTGTTTGTGAAAAGCTATCACCAGAGCTCACCTCTTTGAGAACTGAGGATCCCTTCCTAATCAGTGACCTTTGTTTTCATGGCTGTGTATACTCATTTGTTTTCCTGCCAACTTTGCCTTTTAGTTTACACTGCAGTTTTTTCCCCGTGAAGTAAAACCCCAATGTATTTATAAAGAGCTTTGTTTTCTCTTGGCCTTTTTTTCTAGTGTACAGCACAAGTCAAGCTGAGTTAGTAGAACTGTCTGCACAGAAAGGTTACTAAAATCATAGGAAATAACTCCCTATTTTTAAAGTTTTTAATAGAGATCAACCTCTTGTCCTTTCTGAAATGAAATTATTGCTTTGGGGAGGTAATTTAAGGCAAGATATAGGCACTGCTTTTTATTGATCAACCCGTCAAATTAGTTTCATAGCTACACAGCAAATGTTATTTAAATTATTGATTCCTTTTTCATGGAGTATTCTTGCAACCAGGATGTGTTACCAGTATAAAGTACTTTAGCAGGAACAAATTCATGGTGGTCATTGTCATATGTGAGGGTTTAACAACGTGAAGCAACTTTGATTGCTTAGACATCGAACATTTTGTTAACTTTCATTGCTGTAGAATCAGATAATTTATTACCTCAAGTTAGAAAACAAATGTTACAAATTCTGTTAAACAGTAATTGCAGCCACTTAAGAATGTATTTGGGGACAGACAGAAATAAGAGAACAGCTAATTATGATGAGGATAATAGTGGTTAAAAAAGACAGACTCTGCCTCTTGCTGAAGGAGCAGCTGTGCCAAGGCTGCCCTGGGCCTCTGGGCTGTGGCAGCACAAGGTACTGACTGTGGCTGGAAACATCCAGCCCAGGCTCCTCCAGCTGGAGCACAACTGGCTGTTGGCATGAGCCCAGAAAAGGCATCTTCTGCACAAGCCACATCTATTAGTCTGTGCCTAAGCGAGGAGCTGATGCAAAAACCAAACTCCCTAATAGCAGCTGCAGTGGGGTGTGGAGAAGAACTGAACCTGTGGTGTTTGAGCGTCCCAGGTTCCTGCGACTGCAGAAGTGGAATTTCTGCCCCTTGTAAACGTTGATGGGTTCACACCCACGTCAGCAGGAAACACCTTTAATGGGAGAAGCTGCATGCGAATCCGTCAGAGTGGATGTTGATTACACACACTGTATCAGAATCCTGGGACTGCTTATCCCCCAACAGTGTCCCACTCTTCCTTTCCACAGACACTCCCAGTTTACTGTGGAAAATGCACTGTAGTGGAGTATAAACCTGTCTCTGTATCTGCGCTGTGCAAAATGCTTGAACCCTTTCTGAGACTAATCCTAAAACTTCTTTGAGCAAATTCCAGTAAAATCTGACAAATGAACACATTAATTGATTGTCAAACAGTTCTCAGGAAGTACCATATGTGAAGGCTTAATATACTGAGAAATGTTTAAGAAATTAAGACATGAGGTCGATGTTTCCATATTCTTCACGAACTCAAAACTCCTGATTTTTTTCCCAGATCGCCCAGGGTTGTTGAATGTGAAGCCCATTGAAGACATCCAAGACAACCTGTTGCAAGCTTTGGAGCTCCAGCTGAAGCTGAACCACCCAGAATCATCACAGCTCTTTGCAAAATTGCTCCAGAAAATGACGGACCTCAGACAGATTGTAACGGAACACGTGCAGCTCTTGCAAATCATAAAGAAAACCGAGACAGACATGAGCCTTCATCCACTCCTACAGGAAATCTATAAAGACTTGTATTAACAACCAGAGTAGTTCTAATCCGCTGACATAATGTATGTTCTTCAGATTGCACTATTTCTTTGAGGGAAAACTTTGCATACCTAAGAAATTACTGTGAAACAGCATTTAAAAAGAGAGAGCTTAGTATAGTAGATCTATTTTATGCATATTGTTTATAAAGACACATTTACAATTTACTTTTAATATTAAAATATCTATATCATGAAATTGTTGGCAGTATTTTCAGAATTAATTTTTTAACTATCTTATTTCTTAAAATTGCTTGTCCAGTATGATTGATGCTTCACTCGAGTTGGTTAAGCATGCAGTTAAATTTTCAACTAAATAAAAGTCTTTCTCCTTGAACATTTCTAGGGAAACATTTTAATATTACAGTCGATTTTGTGCTCCCGAGGCAGCAGCAAAATAAAATTTAGTCACAGCTTAGTGCCACTTCCTGTGAGAGTTTAAAAGGCAAAAGTTAGAAATGTCAGGTGTGACAATGTTTGTGCCTTCCGTGACATGATTTGACACCAACAGAGCTGTAAAGAGGGCTTGGTGGCAGTAAGACTTAGGCCCATCATTTGTGAGCAAACCCAAAAACTAGATACTATTTCAAGAATGAATTAAGGAATATGCACTACTGACTTGGAATAGGTTGGTACAAAACTCTTGGCCTGAGACCTTCCCAAATTATTTGATGAACTATCACTGACCAACATAGTCAAAAACATAATAGAAAGTTGGAATAACGTGACTCCTCCTGAACAAAAGCAAGGTTTGAATTAATTCTTGAGAAGATACAGCTGTAGCGGAAACCCTGCAACGTGAGTTTGACTTCACTGTCAACAGGAATGCTGGGAGATGTTCACTGCTGTTGAGATTGTGAGTTTTCTTATATATGTTGCCCTATAATATCACCTGAGAATTCCACTGGAGCAAAGCACAGGAGAGTGAATAAATTTAACAGTACACTTAGATTCACATTTTGCTTGCCCACATTTGATAGTTTGAGAATGTGACACCCAAAGTCAAGCAGGTGTGGTCTGCAGTGGTGAACCAGAAGAGGGAATTTTGGGGAAAAAAGCCACCAATTGTGACTTGCATATCAAAGTAAGGAGCAGTCTTCAATTGAATATCCTTGGTTTCCTCCCCATGTCCATATTTTATTTATGTAGCAAAAAGTGTGCCTTAAACTTAGTGAGACGAGTGGGGATACATAAGTGGACAAAGATGTAATGTAGGGGTCTGTGTGAGTAGGATCTTCAGGGAGTCTAAATTGGCTTTACTCCCAATGTAGACCTCGAAAATATAAGTCACTGCAAATTATGCCATAAAGAAGCTGAGAGAGATAAATATTAAAATAAACCCTTCAGCTCATGCCTTCTACACCTGGAAAAGTTTCCTACTCTTTATTTCAGGTAACCTCTGGGCCTATGGTCAGTTGTAAGTGTTATGGGGGAGTTGGATCATTCAGCCTCAAGGTTTGAAGCCCGCAGGTGACATTGCACTGGCATGAAGTCACTGGGAGGCCAAAGTGAACAGCTTTGTTCTTCCTGAGTGTGCAGTGAGCTCCTTTCAGGTAACTCAGACAGGATTGCCCTGAAGCAGGTGGAGCATTGCACGTTAATGGTCAGGATTGCAGGGTCTCTGCACAGTTCAAGATGGGCAAGTTGTGCCAGCTGAGCATCAGATCCTGACAGGAATTCCATGCACACTAATTTATGGCTGTTACAATTCAAAAGAAATTATTCTCTCTCTTCTTTAAGTTATTTTCCACTGGACATTTGAAAAGTTGCCATCTCTCACTTGGTGGGAGAACCTCTATTAAATCACAGAGGTCATCCCCTCCTGTAGGAGGACCTATCAAAGAAGAACTGGCACTGAGGTGGACCACAGCTCCAACACTGAATTCCTGTAATAGTAACACACAGCAAAAACTGTTACTCTGAGCCTGCATTTCTCATACAATCCAATTTCCCACTGGCTTCAGTAGAAATGGAAGTTCAGAAGTACCTCCAAAGAAAAAAACAAAGAATCTAGGGCATGGTCTTTCGTAAGTAATATTGAAAATTGTTTGAAAAGGAGGGTGGAAGAGGTGCTCTGACAGTGACACTGAGTTCAGCGCTTCGTTACAGGAAACAAATCTGTGTAACCCAGAAGCACATTAACCCAAAGAGCTTCATTCAACTATTGCAAGGGGCAATACTCTTGAAAGTGGCAGTTTAGCAGTGATAGTGTCTAAGCCATTCAGTCCAACAACCCATATATTTGGAGGCTCGTGGTGTAATCGTTATCACAACAGTCTAAGATGAAAGAGAAGACAGTTTTGCAGGAACAGGTGTTATCCTTTGTGAGGATGAAGGGACTGAATGCCCCAAAGCCTACACTTTTCTTTCAACTGTATAAGCTGCTCTAATAAAATATATTGCTCTCCCTACATTCTGTCTTCTCTTACATATTGATAGTAATTCATCACGTTTTCCTCAAGCCATGGAAAGTGTTAATTTTTTATGGGAATTACTAATCACTGAAATGTTCTGATTCTAAATGGTTACATCATGGTTAACACGTTTTGCCTAAAATACTTTTCTACAAAAATAGGTCTTAAGGGAAAAATGTTCATTTAATGGACAATTGCTGTGTACTAATTTAGAACAAATGACTGTTATGAGGATATGAAAACATTTTCTCAAAAAATAGCATTTTCTCTTGTGAATTCTATTCAGAATTTTGATCTAATTGTAAATACTTTCTGTTTCTATGGGACTTTATTTATTAAAAACAAAAACTTGCTAATGGGAGTTCATAAGTAGGTTGTAACACTCTCTGGAGTTTTGGTTAGAATGGGCTACACCATAAATGAACAATTTGGGTTTTGATCTTCAGTGCTACTAAAAACATTTAACAACCCAAAAATAGAAGCAGTCGGCTAGTACGTGCCTGCCTTTGAAGAACTTCAGTTTGCTTGTGTTGCACTGTCATTCCTTAGTTCACTACATCATAACATCTTCAGGGATGATGTGCTGAGTGGGGTACTGGAGCGTTCCCACAGGCTTTACAGCTTCTGACCTGTTACTCTGTCTTGTGTCTTACACTCATCTGCTTTTCCAATAGAAAAATGCTGGAGGTAAATCGTGTCCAGAGAAAGTCATTTGGTGTTCCTGCACACATCCAGCAGCTCCCTGCCCATTTCCCTCACCAGGACAGGCTTCAACCAGTCAGCAAAACACTTCTTGTAGAAGCTCAAAAGTCCCCGTTAAACAGGGAAAATGACCTTCTTCAGACAAAGTTCATTGGTGACCAGTTGAACAGTAAATATTGCTGTGAGCAGCCTGGACTGAACACTTAGAGATAAAATCATTTCCAGCATCACCACCCGTAGAGCAGAGACAGCTGAGACCACTTGAATCACAGCAGTTTCCATGCAGGTCATTAATCACCTTCCAGCCCCGTGTGAAAGATGTGGTTGGGCCGTGTGTTCCCAACATCACTTGTTCCTGACACACACGGCCCTGGGCAGTCCTGGAAAATGGAATTCCTTGTGACTCCTGTCATGACTTGTGTCACAGACCTCAGAGGTGCCACAGGCCTGCCCTGCCCTGCTTCACTTCAGCACACCCACTCTGGGGGTCAGTCACTGGGGGTGCAGGTCAGCAAGCCCTGGGGGATCGGGATTTCGGATTTGATTTGCAGTTGTAAACTCTCTCTTGATGTTGAGTGTGTTTTAAAGGGATTTCCTTCCTGTTAAATGAGAGGTAATAATCTCTGCCTTAACTGGACCTAACATCAACTTTGTAAACAGAAGCTATACCAAGTTGCAGCTAGAGATTAATAGAAGGAGGAAAACAAAAATTTGGGGAAACCCCCCCAAGCCCCCGGGTCAGTCATACACTTGGCAAATGCTTCAGGTTTTCATCCAAGCATTGGAGAAAATGAAGTGCCTCATCATAAATCCCATTCCAACTGCCTTTCCTACAGTGATTAAAAATCAGCTGCACAGGGATGTGTCCAATATGTGAATATATGCAATATACTTTCACTCTTATCAGCACTACCTAGGCCTGAAAATGACTGTAGGGAAAACAATTTCTGAATTTCCAATTTTTCATTTTGATATGTAGGATATGGGTGTGAAATCAGAGTGGCCAGGCAGCACATCTTCACTGATAAGAATCAGGAGTCAGTGACTGACCCAACAACAGAAGAAAGGATAATGATTCCAAAACTCTAGATGCAATATAGTATTGTGTTATATGTGTGTGTGCACCTGAGCAAGGACATACACACCATTCAGTTATAGCACAGCTCCCAACCAGAAACCATTACCAGTAATCTACAGGTGGAAGAACTGCAGACACTAAAAGCTGCTGTTCATACATTAAGACAGTCACCTCAAAACATAAAGCTCTCATTTCCCAGTACACAAAGACTGTTTAGATATAAGTATTTTTGCTTCTGGCCAACCTACATTGCCCTCTGGTCCTCTCCCTCATCAGTCCTCTTCTGCCACACCCCTGCTTTCAAGCACATCAATTCAGCTGGATTTCCCCCCATATTTGAGCTGTCAGACAACATCTCCTCGAGTCCCAGTGCTGAGCTGGAGACAGGGGTGAGCAACTGCAGCTCAGGGTATGGAGATGGTGCACGTTCACCGTGCTCATTCATCATACCCTGCAAAAACCCTCTCAGCTCCAAGGATTCCCCAGAGTATCCCTGCTGATGGTATCCCAGGCTCTGTTCTGTATAAAAGCTGCACACTTTGCAAAGATATCAACCCTTCTTCCCAGCATGCACAGTGTGTCATCTTGGAAACATATCCTGATCCTACTTACTTGTCTGCAAGGCACCTGAAGTTCCTAAATCAGATTAGAGGGTCCAGTTGGACTTGGCCTAACAGACACCAGCACTGTTCCAAGGATCACACACACCAAGACCAGGCAGTAAGTGAATTTTTTGCTGCCCTATTCAGGATCCCCAGACAGGATCTTACAGGTTTTTACCTTTATTTTTACCTTATGGACTCTGTTCGCAAGAAGTTTTTGTATAACAAAGCCAGGAAAGAGTGTCTGTACCTTGATGTGCTCCCGAAATAGGAATGGTTAGTCCAGCTCACAGTGTCTTTCACAGCACAGGTCTTCATTGCTTGATGTATCAAATCCTGTGCTAAAGCATTGCAAGAACTTGGGCTGCCTGAGCCAGATCATATAGTGGAGATTCTGTGGGCAAGTCTCACTCTGGGCAAGCGTTACTCAAGGCAGTGACTCTTAGATTTTGGGGTTTAAATTCCTCAGGGCTTCTTTTAAATGTGAAATGCATTTACTTCAACAGGTTTATGCAAATGGCTAAGATCAGTTCCCAACTCT